GAGGGAGGGAGGGAGGGAGACCCTCGGTCCAGGACCCCAAAATGCACTGGGCCCCTGCCATAGTTCTCATGGGTGTGCATCTTGTCACAGAGTCCTCAGGAACCACCCCACACGGATGGACGTTGCTCGGAGCTAGGGTCCTTCCTTCTACCCCAGAGACAGCCCCATGGCAAGCATTAATTTACATACGGGTCTGGACGTATTTTGATTCTCTGGGCTGATGGCCGGCTTCCTTCTTCCCTTTTCCAAAGGCTCTCCAGAATACTCTAGAAGCAACGAAGAAAGGTTTGGGCGAAGTTGGCTGTGCCAGTCCTAGTTGCCTTCTCTCTTTTCCATCGGTAGAGCTCAGATACGCAGAATACGCTTCAATTCTCTTTGGACAAGATGCGAACCCTACCCCAGTGGGGCTTTATTTTCCCCTTCCTTGAGCGAAGATCTCAAGTGATACACGGATGGATTATTGCTGACATAGGGACAGCAGTATGGTTGAAAAGATTTTTCTAGGGAAAGCTTGATTTGAAGTCTTGCTGATAGCATGAACACTGCTAAAATTGTAATATAGCAAAGCATCGTTAAAACAACCACTCTGGAGCCAGCATTTTCCCAAGCAACAAGGGGACAATGAGGACTGTTAGATGGCAGTGCTTGAGGACGGTTACCCAGAAGAGCGGAGGCATCTTCCATACAGCTTTGCCCCCCCGGCCCCGGCGAAGTAGGCAGACGAAAATACCTGCTGTCTGGGTGCGGTTGTGGGTCTGGCCCGGCCTCGGGCAGGCGCTCGCAGGGAGCGCAAGAGGCCGGCTTCGTGGGCGCCGTTGCCTGCGATCCCGTTGCAGGCTCTCGGGTGCCTGACAGGTTTGGCAGCTGGGGGGTCGCAGAGGATGGCGGTTCCCGTGGGGGCTCCTCCATGTCGACACGGTTGGACGATGACACTGAGAAAAGAGGGGGGTTGAAGCCACCTGGATGCACCTCAGCGCCTGTCGGGAAGAATAAGCCTTAGAAGGATTCTCCCAGCAAGGACTTGGTTGTCAAAACACAAAACCCTCCAAGGGTTTCTCCTCCTGCCACTGTATTCGCTGCTCTGGGGCCTCTCTGCGCAGCTGCTCCGCGGGGAAAAGGCCTTTCTCTCCTCTCTAGTAGCGGTGGCGGTGGTGGCGATACTACGACGTTTTGGTTGTAGCCATGTTTCCAGAAGCCAGATGTCACGTAGGGGCGAGGCTGTTGCAGAGTTCGCAGCAGTGTTTTTTTCTGGCCAGACTTCGCCAGTCTAGAGTGGGCTGGAAACCTCACACCGGCCTCTCTTGGGAAGAGGGTTGCTTCAGTTCAAAGCTCATCGAACTTTAAAGTTGCCCTCGTTAGCTTTTATGTCACTCGATTGGAAAAACAGGGTTTAGAAACTCACCCTCTCGGGGACTGGCAGCACAGGAAAATTGTAGCTGAACGTTGCGTTTGTGAAGGCTGCCATGCCAAAGTATTTGAAGGTAGCAGGGAAAGAGATCATCAGAGTAGATGCAGAGTGTTTTTTCCACACACACCTCCACCTATCTCTTTCTAACTTTCCTTTCCTCTTTGGTTTAGTACCTTTTAGTGAAACTCCCTTCTTGAATGACCGTTTCACAGAATCATCCACTCTATAATTATCCACTCCTGCAGGTCTTGTGGGAGGAAGGTCAGAGCGGTTTTCCTCCAAGCAGGGCAGACTGACAGCAGTTCGGGATGGAGGCTTCCCGTGGGACATCTCGGTGGCTCTGCTGTGTCGAACAAGGTAGTGCTGTCCCCCCAAGATAACGCCCCTGTAGCTGTACCAGCATCTTGAGCCGCGCGGCCTTTCAGAGAGGCGGGATGAGGAACAAAGTGAAGGGGAGACGCTGGAATACGGCATCTTCCTCCAGCCTGGCAGGGGCACCTGGGAATTTGGGGTTCTCCTTTCTGGGCGGCTAAGAGAGCAACCAGATCTACCTGGAGAAAAGTCTCTTGCGCTGGACTCACCTCCCTGGAAAAAAGGCCTGAGGAGTTCCAGACAAAGAGGACGGAAACTGGTCTGTGTGCAGTGGCCGCTGGGGGTCTGACCTTGGCAAGCCTAGTTGGTGACAGACGGGACCCAGATACGGTGGAAAGTCGTCCAGTGCAGGAGGACGGTGTCCCACGCATCCAGGTGGAAGATGTCCTCCTCCAGACACGCCTCCAGGTCATTCTCAAATCTAGGGAGATTGGGCACATGACCAGAACTGAGACCTCACCTCTTCAACACCCGTAGTCACCCTGGAGTTCGTGAAAAACAGAGTCTCTCTCTCTGAGCACGTGCAGAGTATTCCTCTGTCTTCACAGGATGTTGTCCTCAGGATGTTGTCTGATTTTGCCTTCCAACACCTGCTTGCAGCAGCTGCTGTGGTTCCTCTCTGGGGAGGGTCGTGCACTTCGCACGTATTTCAGGGATGCCTGCGTCTTCGTTGTTGTTTTTGTACCTTCAGATGCCTTTCTAAAGGTTCTGTAACGGCGCTTTCTCGGTGATGAAATAGCTTTCTTGGCAGAACAGATTTTTGGCAGCTCTCTTGGGAGAAATCAGTCTGGCCACCTTGCCCGTTTTGTAAGTCTAGCCCTTGCTGGCAGCATTGGTGAAAGGCTCCAGATCTGGAGACTGGGGTAGATCCTCTGTTCCCAGCAGCTCCACGTGACACGGAACTGAACGCAGCCCACTCTAAACTTCTTTCCCCCAGCTCGGTGAGCGTTTCCCGTGCCTCCTACCGTCACCGTGCTTCCAAAGAAAGCGTGCAGATTTTGAAGCCAAAGGCCAAACCACTGACCTTTCCCTGAGGCCCTCGGCCTCTGGCAGCTTTGACGAGACGCTGCTCCTGGGGAGCGCTTGGGTTCTCGGTCAGGGGGAGAATTCCTGAAGTGCCCCACGGCAGTGGGGAAGCTGAGAGTGGAGGAGAAACGAGGCAGGGCCACCTTTTGCCTCCGACCCAGGTGTTCAGGTCTGGAACGGATAGTACCCGGCATGCACGCATTCAGAAGTAGCCCCTGCTTTAAAACCAGTCTGAGGATTCCTCTGAGTTGCCTCCTTCCCTTCCTCTTCGTCTCCACCTGCTCTTCACGCTGCCCTCTCAGCCACGAGGGCTGCACGTCTAGCACTTCGCTGGTCCCTGGGCTGAGGGTGGATCGTTATCGGAACCGGCGGCGATGCCCTTCACGCTCCTTCCTTTCTCAGCCGGTCCATTGGCAAGGAAGACCTGTCAGCAGGGATGTTAAAAGCATTAGTTATTCCTGCTAAGGAAGGAAAGCAACACCGAACCAGCAGCCAGGATTGTGTTCTTAGGACAGAATCAGTCGATTTCCTTTTGTTATCTCCCAGGAGCCGCTGGCGACGGGCTGAATCGGGTCCCTAGCTATTAGCAGTTTGTCTGTTGTACCTTGGATTACTTCTGATCCTCTTGCCACCTGCTCTTCCCCATGAAGTGCTCATTTTCTATCTGTGGGGAACTTTACCCCCAGCGAATACAGCGGATTCCTGCGGGCCTCACCTGCAGCATGAGGCGGTACGGTTCAGATTAACAGGTTGACTAACCCGCTCAGGCTTGGTGGGTTGGAAGATCTCCAGGAGGCACCGGAGACCTCCCACACAGACAAGGACACCTGGATCCTCAGGTGGAAACCAGATGAGGCCGAAATCTCTTTCTCTGGAAGAACGCAGGGTGGAGACCCCAGTCAAAGTTATTTTTCCTTCCTTGTGGGAAAAATGGCAAGCCGCGTGAGCCTTTCTGCACCCTCTCCGTGAGAAAGGCCGTCTCCTGGCTGGCATGGGAATGTCGGGTGGTCTTGGAGGGGCATGGGCGTGCTCAGTCATTTGGGGCATCCCGTGAGCTTGCTTGTCCCGCTGCCATTTCTCCCCTGGACCCAGCGAAGGGCCCTTAGGCTTATGCTAGCCTAAGGGCCCCCGTTCCTTGCAAAGCCCAGGGCGATTTACCCGCAGAGCTTCTTGTTCACTTTCAACGCTCCCAGTCACCCCGAGATCCAGCCACGGAAGCTGTTAAGTTTCCCGAGAGCTGGATTTTTCTGCCTAGTTGGTGGCTGTTGAATAAGGAGCAGAACTGGGACAAAAAGTTGGCAGCTGTAGCCTTGGCTATCACAAATCATGGTGGTCTCCCCCAAGGATTTTTTAAAGGACAGGTTCCATTAAAAAGAAAGCAAAGCAGCGTACCTCATTTAGTAATTAGTGGCAGGGGAGAGAGTCCTGGGAGTTTTGATTCACTTCCAACGTGGGAGAGAAGCCCAGTGTTGCTCACTGGCATACATGGGCAGGAGAGTAAAATACTGTGGAGCTCTGGATACTGGAAAACAGATGATGAAGGAAGGACGCTTAGGGGAGAAGAAAGTATCCGGCAAGACACAAAGCCTCCCGTCCCCATGCCAGGCGAGGTCGGGTGCCCTGCGGCTGACCTGATGCTGGGACGGGCAGGGAAGGGGGGCTGTCTCTGCCCCTTGTATTGGGTTGGGGGGCAGAGGCTGGGAAAGGGGGCTTCACTTCTTTCCTTCCTTTGTAGCCCAACTCGGCCGCAACTACTTGTTGACGTAGTTCATCGCTTCGCTTCCACATTGAGGGAGCCCCCCCCAGGTCATCTAGTTCCGGGTCAGGGATTTGTGCAAGCTGTCCCAAAAGGGAGGGAGAGGGGCTGCCCCCTTCCCTCTCGTTGGAATAGTTTCGATGCCTCCCGCGGGAGCCTTCCCGATCCCAGCGTGTGGCAAGATCCACGCAGCCCCGTATGAGCTGCCCCCTCCCCGGCCCGCCATCCCCGTCTTCTTTCTGCCGCAGCTGGAGTGGGGCGTATCTTCCTTTGGGGCTGGCTGCTTGAGGGGAGGGGGGGAGCATGGCTGGAGGCTGGGAGTCTGCTTTGGCTTAAACTGCAGGGTGACCACATAGCAAGGTTGAAGTGACTCAGCACATGCCCAGGGACACTGTTGTTTGCACTTCTGTTAAGACGTAAGGGGCGTCCTGGAAGTGACCCAGCCAAGTCTTTTGTTCGCTTAAGAAAGCCAGCCAGCCAGCCAGCCGTGTGTTTTTTATGCCCTTTAGACTGAATCTTGTCTTTTGATTTGCCTTCTATCGACTTCTCTCCCAGATGGAAATTACCAACACGGGGAAATCAAATACCCTTTCATCATATAAGTGCACCAGCAAATGCTTGAGTACACCACAAGTGGTTTAGAAAACTGCCCACGCTAGAGTTTCCCTTCTCCCTGCAGGGCCTTCCAACTTTGTGCTCTGTGTGTTTGTCGCCTATGGTTCCATAATTCCCAGCAGAGCGCTGCTGGTGGCAACTGCCTTTCCCAGAGGAAGGACTGCTGGCTCCCCCCGGCCCCTTGCCACTCATGGAAACAAGACATCCAGATCATTCCAGATTTTATTAAATCCCCTGATGATACAAGCTGTAGAGTTGCAACTCTGAATAACAGACGTGTCAGAAAGGCATAGGATGGGATTTGTAGTGAACTGTGACAGTGCTAAGCGTGTTGGATTTCATTCCCCAAACCGTCAGCGAGAGCTGTGAAACAAGGGAAGGGACGGAAGCACCACCTCTCCCACAATCCACAGCCTTCTTCCCACTGCTTTTGACTGCCTAGGGCTCCTAAGGTTTTTTGGAGATTGCATGTGCGCAGACTTGGATTTTCAAATTTGAATCCCGCCATATGATAATAGTACGAAATGTTAGCTTGTGAAGGCTATCCACGTAACTCCTTGTTTGTGATCCCGAAGTGGAACACATTCCCCGATGGTGACGGTGGTGGAGGATGAACAGAACAGGAACTGTAGGCAATCACAGAGAAGCTGGCCAACCCATCAAGGGCAGGATTTCTCCTCGGCACCCACAATTCCTTATCCATCGCCTTCCGCAATGATATCTGCTGGTTTGATTGAAATTTCATTTTGGGGTACTTGCTCTTTGAGTATTTCCCTGCCCTCCAAGCTAGCCTAGATATCAATGGGAGGGAGTTAGATGTAGACTCAGGTTAAACTCTGCGTGGCCCAGAAGAAGCCACTGCCAACAGAAGCAAAGCCTCCCGGGGGCCTCAGAGGAAGCGGAGCTGCGTTTGCCAGCAGAACCGGTCTCTAGAGCTAGCAAGCTAGCAGCCCTCAGCCCTCGGCCTCGGCCCCAGCGGTGCCACAGTTGAGAAAAGAAGGACTCCAGCAGGACGCAGTCACAGGAAAAAGGCCGGGAAGGGTACGTCACGGTCTCCGTGGGCTTCTTTAGACGGCAAGAGGGAGAAGGAGGGCGAGACAAGCGAGGCAGGAGTGAGCATGTCACGGTGACGCAGAAGCAAAGCCAGTTGTAACCTCCAAACTCAGCGTCTGTGGTCCATCTGCTTTCTGGGTCTCCAAAAGACCGGTGCAGGAGAGGGTTTTCCTCTGCTCTTCGCTGGCGTTCTTCACGCTGCTTCACGTGGTCAGAAATTGAGGGGGATGCACTGATGCCCATGCTTTTGACCTCACCAGTATTGCTAAATCATACTGCTGGATAAAAGGCTGCTTGCTGTACAAAAAGAGAAGAGATAGAAATAAAACAGAATAGAACGTTCAGAATAACAGGGCAACATTTTGCTCCGGTTTTTGTTCAAGATCTGGAGAATAATGCAGAGAGCTGCAGCACAGAATGTGCAAGGAGGCCTGGAGCAAGGGATTGAAAGAGCAGCTATAACGAAACCAGCAATTTTAGCTGGGTATTAAGTGGAGTGTCGTTTATTTAATCCAATAGATAGAGTGTACTGCTGCCAGGTCAGATCTGAAAGGAGAAAGACAGCTCTTGGAAGAGCTTGTGAAGCTCCCAAATTGAGCTCTCTGTGGCTCTGCCTCTTAACGTCCTTTATTTTCTGTTATTTAGACATCTTGAGGACTACATGGATGAAAGGGTCAGAGGAGAGAAAGACATGCCTCCTTCTTCCTACTTGGGTGACGCTTCCGTATTAAATACCTTCTGAGTAAAGAGCCCCACATACCTGTATCCATTTCTAGAGCGGATCTGAGACACCCTTGTGACTGAGAGGAATGAGACCCACTTACCATGAGACTTCCATCTGATCGTGTTGCCGTAGAGAAGCACAGATGGTACAGGCATAACACTACACACTGCACCACAACACAAGATAGATGGGGATCACACCACAGTTACAGTAGCTGAACCCCCAGCTAGGTGTGAAGAGAGAGGCACAGATTCTGCAGTGAAGACACTTGTGCGGGAGAACACTTGAGAATTACCCCAGCGTTAGAAATAGGGGACTAAATCTCCCAGAGTTTCTCAGCTAGAAGTCCGATCTTGCCACGGCGTAATGCATAGCCACTGTTTTTCATGCCTTGTTGATTTTCCAAAACGAGGTGGCTGAAGTGGCAGGAAGGATTAAGGTGAACCAATGTGCCGGCCTGGCGTTGAGCTGTGTGGCCAAAGCAGCTGGTTCTGGTGGAAGATTCTGCCCCTGTCCCCTTTTTGAACCCTCCTCTTGCTGCTGGATATTTGGCACCAACAGCAACACACACACCCAAACACACCCAAACACACACACCCAAACACACACACACTCGCTTTGTGCTCCTGTCATGGACTGACCTGGTGTGGGAGAAGAGTCGTGACTCACCGTCAGCAGCACATCCTGGTTGTCGGCCAGTGCCTGCTTGGCTAGGTAACGCTCACGTTTGATCTTTACTTCCAGGGATTCAGGGACGTCTGGAACCAGCCAGTCAATAAGTCGCAAGCAGAAGAAGACCACGTGCTGGGAAAGAGGAGGAAGAAGAGGAGAGAGCCTTTACCCGTTCTGAGCGTCTGAGGTCTTCTGAGATACCGTCAGCCTTACGACCATCTGGCGAGGTAAGTCAACGTCATTCTTTCTGTTCTGGAAATGAGATTTTGACTGAAAGAAAAGGGTTGCCTTAAAGCCAAGCATCAGGGGCTCTTGTATTCATAAATCAGCTTCAGAGTACAGAAATCTTGGGAATTCTGTTCTTTCATGAAAAACAGATAATAAAAAATGACAGATGAAAAATGTCTTTTCGAACTTGGAAAACGCAGCTGAAGTTAAACAAATTTCATGTATGTCTCGATAAAAAGTAGACACTTCTAAGAGATTATTCAACTGAATAAATCCTGGTAAATCGTAATTTTCAGTTACAGAAGGTTCTTTGAAAAAAACTAACATGGGCAGAGAATTTTTGCCAAACCCTGATTTTACACTGAGAAAATTCAGATGTTACATTTGGCATAATAATGAAAATTCCCAGTCAACTAAGTAAACAAATGGCAATTAAACCTAGGTAAACCAGATAATTATATTCAATCCACGATTTTTTAAATGGGCAGAAAGTTTGTGCCAAAGGATACACTGATGCTGTCCTTGGAATATCAGATACTATAAGTGGAATAAACTATGAACGTTACTGGAGGATTAACTTTTTTGAATATATGCTTTTGTTTGACTTCATGGGTGCTTTGCTTGCTCCCGATAGAGGAGAGCTGCTTAGTCCCACATAGCGATGCTCTATTCCAGCTCTTCCATAAAAATGTGTGAATCTCACCTCAAAGGCGATGATGAAGCCCAGACGAACGGCCAGAAGTTTCCAATAAAAGAGGGTGTAGTTCCCATTTGCATCTCGGAAGGCTTTGTACCTGTTGATAAGCCATGGCAGATCAGCATAGTTGGGGAGGGTGAGACTTAACCATGGTTATTGGCTCAGAGAATCTCTGCTCACCTGCACATGGTATGGTTGTTGTGGACGTAACTGGGTGGGGAGTAAGCCAGGGTGAAGTTCACGTAGCCGTGGAGGTGGCTGTCGTATTCGTATTGGTACAGGAGGCGTGGCAGGAAGTCAGATGTGAAGGCAATGAGAAAGGCCTATGGGCAAATAGATCATAGTTGAAACAATCAGGAATGACTGGGACTGGGATGCGGGGTTTTCTGTTGTATCACTTTTGGCCCAAGAGAACGGGCAAACTAGTTAAATGATCCCCCACGGTTCCCCCAGTGAGGGGATCTTGAGAGCCGCCAATCTGTGACTATTGGGAACAGCTTGAGGATCTCTGCTGCTTCTTTGAGACTCACATTGACAATAACAGATATTTGTGCCAGGACCTCGAGGATGAAGAACCAGACGCTGATGTCCTGGGCACGCTCAGCCACCGGTCGGCGGTACTCGCAGACAAATTTCTGGGCATCCAGACGGATCTCTACCCAGTTGTTGAGCAGGGCGAAGAGAGGGGCCAGTGGAAAAGCAGCCACAAAAATGGTGATGAAACCAAACTGGAGCACTAAGAAAGAACATACCACTTTCAGTGTTAGCATTTACAGAACCCTAAATACTCCTCACAGTGACCGGAAGAGCAAAGCTTGTGTCTGTTAGACTGAAACGATGGTGGGAGTCTGTTTCTTTGGGTGGCTCTTCCTCATCTTGCTTCTGCGTTTCATTCTTGTGGAAGATCAAAGCTTTCTGGATGACCTAACTTTCAGAGAGACAAGATAGAGGAGAACTGGGGAAATTCAGTTATCCTAAACATCTGAAGTCTGTTGAAAGTGGAACATCCAATATAATTTTGACTCACTTTGCTGAAATGTTATCTTTCGGAGGTTGGAAAGATGGACAAGATCTGCTGCCCACAATTTAATTAGTGTACCTCCTGATCTTTGGAAAGCAACTCGTGAAAAGGATCTCAACGTCTTAGTGGACCAGGTGGCTGCCAGTCAGCAGGGATGGTATGAATCTAGACCCCAAGCTACCTTTGCTCATATATGTTCCAAAGTAGTTGAATGCTGTCCAAGAATGGTCTTCTTACCCATCTCCAGGTATTCCTCAAAGAGACCTTCACATTCAATCAGTTCATAATCTTCCTCCCACCGTTTGGACTCCTGGCAGATCTGGGCACCTCGTACCTTGGCCAGCTTCCTTTTCTGCTGCCAAGCTTTCAGCTTCCTGGAGAAGAAACGTCTGGCTGTCCTTGGGGGAGAGGACTGCACTGCTATCTTGGAGAGAAATGCTAGAGAATGATGGGCATTCCTTTGACCAAATCACCCCCCCCCCTCCGCTGTTAGCCACAGAAGGCAACTCACGGGACAAAAAACTCCTGGACGTTGCTGACAATCTGCTTCCCAACCATGATGATGAACAGCTGCTGGGCCAGTTCAATTAGACACCCACCAGGACCGCACTGCAGGGTGAGAGAGAGAGAGAGGGTGCGGGTGCACCTGCGGCGTTTGTAAGTCATCTCTGTACTTTTGGTACACCGAGAACAGCCGTTACTAGAGCCTCAAGGTGGCCTAGGAAAATCTAGGCACTGGTTTACAAAATGTCGTTTTGTGCTATTACAAAGAATTATTTCAGGTAAATTAATAGTAACCATAAAAAGAAAATTGCCGCTCGCAGTCCCATATTTATTCTAGGTGACCTTGCTTAAATGGGTAAGGCAAAACTTTCTTTGAAATACCTCAGTAACTGACTGAACCCATTTGCTCACAAGTGACAGTGCAGCAAAACAAAATGTGTGTGTGTGATGTGAAATAAAGGCTCTCCCCAATTCTTTGAGAAGTGGTTGGCCAGCGCCCAGAAAAAGGAAAACAGAAATGCCTGCGTGCACACAGTTGAGGGATCCGCTCCTGTACTTACATCTTCGTTCCTCGTGCCCAGGAGCTTTCCGTACTGACCAGGGTAGCCCACAAACCTGCTGGGACAAAGGAAGGCGTTGAAAAGGATCGAATGCCACCTTCGGTTGGGCAGGTCCAGCTTTAAGGATTTTTTTTTTTTTTAATCTGCACTCAGTCGTTACCGACTCTGCAGTGACTGCTTGGA